ACCTTGGACAAGTTATTTATTAAATTTATTTTTAGGTCTTATTTTTTGGGAGGTGGAGAGTTCAGAATAGCACTAATTCCTTACATAGGAAAGTCAAATGTGGTAACGAGTCAGTGTTCTATCAATATTAGTTCTCATCTTCCCTCTGAACAAGAAACAGAGTTGGAAAAAAAAAATCTTTTTTTTTTTTTTTTGGGGGGGGGTCCGGTCGTGGGGCCTGAACTCTGGGCCTGGGCGCTGTCCCTCAGCTCTTCAGCTCAAGGCTAGCTCTCTACCACTTGATCCACAGTGCCACTTCCGGCTTTTTTCTTTTTGCTTAAGTGGTGCTGAGGAATCTAACCCAGGGCCTCATGCATGCAAGGCAAGCGCTCTGCCACTGAGCCACCTTCCCAGCCCCTGAAAAAAAATTCTTTGTGCCACTTTCAAGCTAAGGAAGCACATGCATTTCCATATCTCTCAGAATCTCTTAGGCTGTCTCCTGACTCTGTTGCCCTAACTGCATACAACCTTGCTACTCAACCTTCCAGTTATGATTGAGTTCTCTATACTGTAGACACTTACTTGTGAACCAATTGTGTATATTCATGCTCTGTCAGTTGAATTTGCTTTAAGAATGTAGTTACTACACTTGTTTTCCCAGTCAAGGTGGTAAGAAACTTCTGTTCCAATAAGGAGCCCTTCCAACTCATTTTACTTTTTTTATTAAAAATTTTGAGTATATGGTAAGAACACCACATGATCAAATATAGCAACATTACCCAAAGAACCCACTTTCACTTGACAAATACATGTGGTAGAGCCAGTGCTAATAAACCCTTACAGCAGCTGTCTCATGTGCCCCAATTTTCATAAACTGACACAGGGGTGGCACACTATAGTAAAGGAGCCAACTCAGATAATATTGAATGAATGTCAATGTATAAAATGTCAGAGGATAGAGGCTTTAAAATTTTAGGTGTTCAGGACTGGGAAGGAGACTCAATGAAAGAGTGCTTGCCTTGCATGCATGAGGCCCTGGGTTCGATTCCTCAGCACCCCATAAACAGAAAAAAAAAAAAGTGAGAAATGGCACTGTGGCTCAAGTGGTAGAGTGCTAGCCTTGAGCTGAAGAGCTGAGGGACAGTACCAGGCCCAGAGTTCAGGCCCCAGGACCGACAAAAAAAAATTAGGTGTTCAGAATGTTAAGCTTTCAGGTACTGTAGGGTCAGTAGAGTGTAAGCAAGCTGTTATAGCCAACACAACTCAAGTGCATGACCTGACAGTAATAGGTTAGTTCTGCTTATCATTTCCATTTAAGTCCTCAAAGTAAACACCTTCACCTAAGAGCAGAAATCCAAATACAATCCCTTGGAGGCTGCCACACAGGGAAAGGAAATTCGCAGCAAAGAAAACTAGTATGAGCAAGAAAAAGAGAAAAAAAATCAGGATATTCCAATGTAAAATAAAATAAGAAAAAAACATTCAGTGGCATCAAATGCAGCTGAAGATTCAAGAATGAAAAGTAGCAAAATGTGATTTGACCAGGAGGAAGTTAGCAGTGGTTTTGAGGATAAGTGGTTTTTAACCGAGTAAGTGGTTTCTATTATATAAATGGTGACTTGTTTAGAATGACATGTTTAAATCAACAATTTGCTTTCACCAGACGGTTAAAGGACCATTATAATTAGACTCTTTCCTTCATTAGAATTTACTGTGCTCTTATAAGTATCCAACCCCACAAAGCCACAGGTAGGGATACCTAATAGAAAAGCTGTAATTAAATCAGAATGGCAATCACAAGCAATCTAGACAAAGTTTTAAACCAAGGACTTAAACATAGGAGTCTCATTCCCTTGTAGTTTTTCAACTAAAATATGCTTTTATGATATATTAGCCTTTTGTTTACCTCTTTGTGTGGGATGGTACCTGAGGTTGAACTGAGGGCCTTGCACTTACTGCTGTCACTCTACCACTTGATCCATACCTTCAGCCCTGATTTTTGCTTGTTACTTGGAAATGAAGTCTCTCCCTAGACTGGCTTCAAACTGCCATCCTCCAGATCTCAGCCTCTTGCATAGTTAAGATTGAAGGTGTGAGCCACCAGGACCTGACTTGTTTTCCTTTCTAAACTGTTTGATTTGCCAGCCTAGAAGAGTAGCAGAGTTTAATAAATAAAAATATCTCAAAGTGTTTTATGTATGCTGTGAAGAAAAGCAAAAATGCTATTTATATCTTGTTAGATTTTTCTACAAACATAAAAGCCCACACAAAATAGCCCAGAGAAACCAAAATTTCCTCAGTTTTATTGCCTTTTATCTAATCATTTAACAGATTTGTTTAACCAAATCCCTGGCAAAGCACCAACTTGGATTCTGACAGGAGAGTAAAAACAGCAGTTCTCAAAAAATCTTCTGTGAGTTACAAGGAAAAACAGAAACGGTTTTTATACCATAGACATTTATTTCCACAAACATTTGCTGCCTGTAACACCAACCCAACAACTCACTTGGAATAGACCATGGAAAGTTACCAATTTCACCACATTTTCAGAGATTATAACTACAGATCTCTGCTTCTCAAAGCAGAGTTAAAAGCCACAGTGTAGTGAGAAATCTGCTCGCTGGAAATAAAACCAGCCCACAGGATACATTTGGCACATCAAACATAGAGAATTATTTTAAGTTTAAACATGGATATTTTTTGTTTTGTTTTTTTGTTTTTGGGTCTGGTCATGGGGCCTGAACTCTGGGCCTGGGCGCTGTCCCTCAGCTCTTCAGCTCAAGGCTAGCCCTCTACCACTTGAGCCACAGCGCCACTTCCGGCTTTTTTTTTTTTTTGCTTATGTAGTGCTGAGGAATCGAACCCAGGGCCTCAGGCATGCAAGGCAAGCGCTCTACCACTGAGCCACCTTCCCAGCCCCATGGATATATTTTGAAACATGATAAAATTCATGATATTTTCTAAAACAAAACTTCAAAGGTATTTGGTTTGGAAGACTAAAGTCCAGGCCTGTGCCACTGAGAATTTCTTCTCTCAATTGCCACAGTGATGCCTTCTGCCAGGTATCTCTACAAAAAGGCACAGATGTTATGTCCAGAGACCCTACCTCGAGCTAGCTATTCTAATTAGCAAAGTACAGAAAATTTTATTTTGTATCAGTTATAATCATGTGGCACCAGGGTATCCATTAGCTTCAGAATTAAGGTTTGTAATCCCATATACATATACAAAGGGCTTTTTTAATTTGTCATCCAAAATAAACCCACCTTAGAAACAAACCAACCCATTCAGAAGTGTGAAGTGAGGTCTTTTTCCTTTTTCTACTTTCCATATAGTTTTTTTTTTAGTAATGAGGGGAAATCTTAAAAAAAAAAAATCTAAAGAAACCTTGAAAGGGTTTTCAAGGTCATCATAACAAAAACTGCCTGTTTGAAAACTATTTGTTTCTTCAAAAATGTCAATAGCAGGAATCTCGATTAACTTCCATCATTGCTTTCTTACAACTCTTAGGTCAAAAGCCACTCCTGTTACAGTCTAATAGAAAATATCCTTTTTAGGGGAGTAGTACTAGAGTTTGAACTCAGTCTTGTGATTACTAGGTAGGTACTCTACTTCTAAGACACATCATTGGCCTGAGAATATCCTGTTTAAGCAGTTAACTCCAAACATTTTAACATAGGTATCTGAAATTCATTATTCTATTTAACTAGTGTATTTTATTTAACTTATATTAATTATACAAAATAATTTGCATACATGTATATAATGAACTTTAATCATATTCATCCCCCATTAGCCTGTCTCACCACCTTGCCTCCTCCTAATGTTCCTCCTCCTCTGTGCAAACTAGCCAGCAGTATTTGTGTTTTATTTATAATGGCAATTGACTTCCTGTACCTTATTTGAGAGACTATGTAGACAATATGGCAATTACAGACAAAAACAGGTTTCACTAATGGATGTACAAAGAAAATGACTCTCAAATCAACTCATTCCATATTATCTTAAAAACACAGGTTTTATTCTTCCTTATAAGACTTTCTGGGGCTGGGAAGGTGGCTCAGTGGTAGAGCACTTGCCTTGCATGCACGAGGCCCTGGGTTCGATTCCTCAGCACCACATAAGCAAAAAGAAAAAAAAGCCAGAAGTGGTGCTATGGCTCAACTGGTAGAGCACTAGCCTTGAGCTGAAGAGCTGGAGACAGCACCCAGGCCCAGAGTTCAGGCCCCACCACTGGACACCCCCCCCCCAAAAAAAAAGACTTTCTGTGTGTCTGTGTACCAGTACTGAAGTTTAAATTCAGGGTTTCATATTTTTGCTCTGCCTTTTTGCACAAGGCTTGGGCCCTACCACTTGAGCCATATCTCCACTTGTAGCTTTCTGCTGGTCAATTTAAGAGTTTCAAAGACTCTTCTGCCAGGGAAAACCACAATGCTCAGATCTCAGACTCTTGAGTAACTAATATTACAGACGTGAGCCATCAGAACCTGGTGTTGTTTTATTGTAAACTATGTGATCAAAAGTCTGATTCCTAGGAGAATGCTAAGCATATTCTAATTTAGCCACCTGAAATGTGATTTTATTACAGGAAATGGTTGGGGTTTTTTGGATGTTTTCTTTTGCTGGTTGTGGGACTTGAACTCTGGGCTTAGGCACTGTTCCTGAGCTCTTCAGCTCAAGGCAAGCACTCTACCACTTGAGCCACTGTGCCACTTCTGGTTTTCTGGTGGTTAGAGATAAGAGTCTCAAGGACTTTCCTGCCCAGGCTGGTTTTGAACTGTGCTCCTCAGATCTCAGCCTCCTGAGTAGCTAGGATTACAGCTGTGAGCCACCGGCACCTGGCAGGAAATAGTAATTTAAGCAGGGTCATCTCTTTAATGGGACTTAGGGCCTCAGCCTGTATTTTCTGAGGGGTATAAACTGGACTTCAAATACAAATGAGCAATCTCACTTACTCAGTGGAAAGTACCCATCCCACAGATTTTCTAAAAATTAAAAATTCTTTTAGAGGGAAACAGTAGTGATTGTGTAAAAGATTTATTAATCAACGACACAAAACTACAACTAACATTGATCTTAATATTGACAATTAAATCATAGCAACCTGGTAAGGAAATTCTAATTGAAGAAAATAAGCTCTATTAAATTTCTAAGGAAAAGGCAGTGATTCTAACACTTTTAAAGCAGCCATATGAACCGTTCAAACAATAGGGAAAAAATATCAACATCAATACAACATCAATACTTAGTTTGGAGGCAAAGAATTGTAAATTACATAGTGACACATGATGTGTCACAGAACATTGGTAATTCCTTTAGTCTCAGTGCTTTAGACCCAAAGCTTTACAGTGCTACCACCACCCAGGACTCCCATGATAGGCTCCATCCAATGACTATCTAGAATTGAATTACACTATGTGACTCTCTGCTTGTCAGCAGAACAGACAATAATGAACATTTTCCCTTCTTGATGCAAATTACACATTCAAACCAGATAATCTTGTCTGGTAAGAGGCTAGTTCAGAAAGGCCAATTTTCTATTATACTGTATCAACAGCAAATTCAGAAAGATTTAAGTTTCTATCAATAACAAACTAGCAAATGCACAGCACTTTTCAAAGGCTTGTTGAGAAAAAATAAAGTCAAGAGAAACACTGCATTATCTCATTTACAATTTACTAACTCAGTTTCAGAGAGATACAAGTTTTCAATGCTCTTAAAACACAAGTGAACACATATCTTGCTTGCAGTCGTAATCTCTTTCAGCCAGGTAATTTTATAATTCACTTAGGGAGAACTCAAGTATCCTAAAATTAAAGAAAAGTTAGTTTACTTGTTCCTTAAATTTCTATATGTTCATGTCTATGCCTATATTCTAATCTGTTCTCACTAATGAAGATCTTCCCATATATTCCCAGTCAGTCCCACAATGAAAATATGAAAATGCTCTAGAGATTACTTCAAACTATGGTTCTGATCATAGTTTACTATTTCCCCCAAATCAGGTTCTTCGTTAGCCAAGATGAATTTATAAATAAAATGGTCTAATAAAAACATCATTCAACCAAGAAAGCAACTTTCTCAAACACTGATTAAGACTGTGGTGAATGACTTTGTATGTAACTCATGAAGGTGCAGTTCTTGCTTAGCATGCTTAAGGTTTTGGGTTTAATCTCCAGAGGCCCCCCACAACTATAGCAAATGAAACTAAGGAAAGGCTAAGGGAAATTCCAATATTGGTCAAGAACAGAGTGTACATATTTTCCAGGAAACCTCATAGACAAAGACCATTCCATTTCTCCTCACTCTAACTCAAAACACATGAGAAATGGGACCCCTTAAGATCTTTAGGTTGATGTGTATAAATCAGGGAAACTCAGACAAGCTAAGCATAGACAAGCTAAGTTATTCCTTTCAGCAAGATTTTAATATGGTTCTAGATCAGACTATAACACATACAGACACAGGGTGGATTAAATATCAATATTAACCAAAATGAACACACCTTTAAGTCGAAAAGGAATTAACCCATCTGAATTCTTATTACACTATTTCATACTGGTTATCTGTTATGGCACGAGAAAGGTAGTAAGCCAGAAAAATTCCAATTAGCTGGAAAGAAAATAGTAACAAAATTAAGCACACCAAAAAATCACTTGAAGACCTCAGAATATACATGTATTCTATCAGTTGTAATTCATTAATTTCCTTCCTTGAGTGTTTCTAGATGTTTCGCATTCTGTACCAGCAGACTAGTTCAGCAGTAGATTAATTCCAAGGATACAAGTTTTACTACTATGGTGACTAAGAGCTTCACAATTAATATGAAATAAAAAATCAGGAGTCATGAGTTTTGGACAAACCCTAAGTTACTATGAAATATAACACTTAGCTCAGAATAAGCATCTTATCGAGTAAAACTTCCATCTATAAGTGCAGTGGAAAGCAGTGCAATAATTATGTGAATGCTCTAGAATGCCTGTGCTGTCCAATAGTCATTAGTCTCATATGGATGCTAAGTACTTCAGATGGGTCTAGTGCAACAAAGGTTCTCTTTTTCTTTTTTTCACAATAGTAGTGGTTAGAACTCAGGGCTTGCTTATACTTGCTGAGCTGTTGCAATATTTTTCCACTAGTTATTTTTAGGACAGTGTCTTGCCTTCTTTGTGAGCCACAATCCTCCCCCTACTTTTAGAATTCCAGTTGTCACTAGTTTCACAGGCAGGCACTACCACATCCAGCTTCCATTCCATACCCACAGATGTTTCACCCACGCTGGCTAGGCATAACAATCCTCCTAATCTTAGCCTCTCATATAGTTTGGATGAGAGATACATACAGTTCGCAGCTATGGGTTGAAAAGGAATCATTAAAATTTTCTCTGACCAAGCCGGTCTTCAACTTTAATCCTCCCATTCTCAGATTCCCAAGAACCTTGTGATTATATTTAATATTTATAACTTTTCAAAGGGGACTAGTGGCTATTATATTAATACAAATGAAAATAACTACATAAAGTAGTTTGCAAGGTTATCTTTGTACAGCCTTCTTTCTATAATATTGAATATAAAATAACATGCTCTAAAAAACCACTTAGTGACACAGTTTTCACACTACAGTAACATTGGGATGGGAGACTGTATCATTTAAATTTTAATACGTTTAAAAGTACATGCAAATCATCAGCTAGCTGCAGCTCTATAATGTTTTAGAAATCTGACTAATTTCAGAAAAATATCAAGGTTTCTATCTAATGTTTTGTTTATATACAGGATTACTGGATTCCACAGTTAACCACTTAAAACACATTTACTAGGCAGGGAAGGGTATGGCAGTCTTAGAGGGCTTGCCAAACATTCATGAGGCCCTGGGTTTGATTCCCAGCACTGAATAAAGAAAAGAAAGACATCACTTTTAGGAGTTAGAAAAATTCTAAGTTGTGCCTTTTTAAGCTATGACTAACCATGACAACAGAAACTGAAATTCAGAGCACTGTGTAATTGTTGAAAACATAAGATGAAAGATATTTTCTCTTAAAGGAAAATCTAAACAATAACAAATCAACCCATTAAGTCCAATCACTCCATTTCTATACTGTGACTGGTAACCAGGAGCTTTGTGAAACTATGACTACTTACACTGCCCTCACTATCCAGGCGCCTGAACAAAGCCTCAGGCCTTAAAGTAAAACCTTTCCAGTTTACACCTACCAAAGGAATGAACAAACTTTTCCCAAAGAACAAGACGGACTTACTTGAAAGCAAGCTACTCCGAAGGAAATTCCAGCTACAACTCCCATTTCCGATTCTATAATCGTCATCACTTTTATAAAACAGCCCTGGTGGGAGCGGAAAACATACAACACAAGCAATCAGTGGTTTTCTTTACAGTAATAAATACTTTGATCATACACCTTCACAAAAAGATGAGTTTTAGCATTTGATTGTTATTTACTGAAATCTATCCTTTTTCTTTTTTATTTACTTATTTATTTATATTGTGAAAATACCATAGAGAGGGGTTACCATTACATGGGCAAGATAACGAGTACATTTCTTATCAAGCATTGTTGCCTCCTTTGTTTCCCCTTCCCATCCCTTCCCATAACCCACCCCCTCCCATCCCCCCTACCTGGGCCCCCCCCCCCAGTGAAATCTATCCTTTTTCATAGGTTCTCAATCCCCAGTCTTTCCACCTTTTGGAGCATGCATTTGAATGTGCTACTTGCTAGTTGTGTGAAATCAAGTTCTACTTATTCTGCCTACTTCAGATTATATGAGTAAAATTAATGTGAGTAAAAATTAAATAAAGACAACTTTGTATTCAGTCAAGTCCTCAAAGGTTATCAAATAGAGAATCCTAAAAGTCTCCTTACTTCATGGTTTACTTGATTTGCATCCTTTAGTGGAGAACAGTCTTCAATTCTACAGCAACTCTTGGGAAATCCTATTTCTGTGTAATAATCACTATCTTTCCAATCCCTATAGTTGGTGACACCGCAGCAATGTAACTGAAAAAGCCAACAAAAGCATTTAGAGTTCAAAATACAACTTTATAGCCAAACATTTAATCTAACATAATCACCTATTGCAAACTGTGCTCAAAAGAATAATGCATTCAATGAGGAGATATGAAATATGACAGCTTTGGAATGACCTTACATTTCCTGTTATAGTTAGCATTAACGGTATTTGTCTATGATGCAAGTAGGGAGGGAAGAGAACAGGAACACATGAGGATGCAAATATGTCAGTATCATCACATACTTCTTTCCTGTATATGGGGACTGTTAGGTTTTTAAAAAGAGGTGGCCGAGTAAGAACTGCACCACGCACGTGGTATTCAGGTAAGGGGTAGGTTTATTCAGTAGACCTGCTGGGACCAGGCAAGGTTGGCACTCCACGCGGCTGGCAAAAGGAAAAGAGAGGGCGGTCTGGCCGCGGTTTAGGCCTTATATAGGGTAGGGGGTGGGGAAGGGTGTGTCCAGGTAAAGGGAAGTGGGATCAGGTGGGAGAAAGGTGTGGCCACATCAGGTTAAGATGTGACCTCAGTGGATGCGGATGTGACCTCTTCCAGGTATCCCAGTTGCCTAGGTAACGCAGGTACTGGGTGAGGTCTGTTCGCCGTCCAGGAATGGACCTTACAGGGACAACATCTAGTAGTCTAGCTCTCTCTTTCCTCTGAGGTCAATAGGGAGATACTGCCTCTGACCACTTACCGTGTTTTGGATCTTGTCTACTGCTTCACTTCTATAGTCTCCTGTCAAGTTGTAAGACTTCAAAGCTTTCTCATAATTGCTTTTAAAGCTGTTCTTAATCTATAACAAAGAAATACAATGTCAATAAACAAATGTTCTACAAAGTTCCTTTGGGTTTTAGATTAAAGAAATTCTTGAATGTGACCCTGGTTATATCTCTGATAATTAACTTCCATGGTCCAATCTTGGCTTTTAAGGGATATACTTAGTTGAGGAGACTAAAACATTGTAATTTAATGTAACAACTAGTATAATTTCAAAGTACTATAGACCATTTACCCAAGTGTCAGCTTTGTACTGCATATTTCACCCCTCACCTTCCAAATCTTTCTCCACTTTGTACATATTTGTTGCCTATGAAATTAAGATCCAAAACCCTACGTTTGGACATTGCACTAATAATTTATAAACACTGTAAAAGCATTCACTACTCACTGAATAACTTCATAACCACCACAGATTTACTTGATTTCAGTATGATTTTAACATATCAACATTAAGCTATCAATGGTTTACATTAATGGTTTACATGTCTTTTCAACATGTCTAGCTTTAAGAAGGTATGAATTTTGTGTTACAAACTTTTTACTCTATTAGTGAAGTTATAAATTGTACTATTCCAGTTGAATATGTACTTTCACGCAAAGTGATCAGTGGAAACGTGATTATGGCTATGTTTAAATTTTCCTCTAGTGATTACAAATTTGGTCTACAAATTTGTAAATTTTTCGTTTCTATTAAAAGTGGCACATCATTTTTATTAGAAAGTCACTATTGTCGCATACAGATCAAAAACTAAGCTTTAAATGCTGTTAAGTGATTTTTATAACTATTGAAAGTCTGTTACTCAATCTATTTTTATTTGAGAGGATAAGTTGTAACATATTAGGCTCCATAACAAGGCTTACCTCATGTCTGAAAACAAATCCTACTATGGCAGCAACTAACTCCACCAAAAATATGAGAGTCAGAAACATAGCATACTGTGGGGGGAAAAGAAAGTCCAAGTCAGCACAAATAAAATCTAGCACAGCTGCAAACAGAGCCAAAGGGGAGATAAGGTTCTGCTTGATCAGTTCAGCATATTTTTCTCACAAAGGGCATGGAAAACAATTCAAAAATATCTATTTTGAAAATAGAATCTGGCAGCTAAGTTTTCATACGGGACAAGAAAAATTCTAAAGGGCTACAGCCAGTTGCAAGAAACAAAGCCTACAATACAGGAGACTTTCTTAAGAAATCCAAGAATATTCTAAGATAAGCAAGGACTCACCAGTTTCAGCATCCATGCAGAAGCACGGCAGGTAGCAAAACAACCGAAGGTCCCCAAAAGTATGATAACAGTACCAGTGCCAATAAGCACGAAGGGGACATTGGTGGCTTTCTCATTTAAGAGGGAAAAATAATTTTCCAGGCTCACCTTGCCCCAAATACCAACGGCAAGGAGGATAACGCCAGTGATCTAAGTGAGAAATCAAGAAAATAGAAATAGTTAGGCAACTGTACAAATACACTAGCATCTTCAAGTCACACACCAGGAAGTATTTAAAATTAAACGGACAAAAGGATTAATCTTGCAGTCTGTTTGCTAGGGGGCTGGGGCTAAGACAAGGCAGATAGAAGAGAAGGATGGGAGAGGGTAGGAGGAGGTTCAGTACACAAACCTGGGGTGAGTACAACGCTTATCAAAATTCTTTAAATCTGTTTTATTGTGTAAACACAGGCCTTTATCTTATTTGCTTGAGGGATCAAACTTCTCAAATATTTACTCCTTCTCAAGGAAAAGAAATCTTCCAGGAGGAAAACATTGTTTCCCAGTTCCAGACTTCCCCCATCCCCCACCCTCAATTAAGGATGAACACAGGCTACAAAGGAACAGTACACAAAAGCCAACCCAAGGACAGATTCGCGGGCGTGGAGCCATACCATTCTTACCTGGGAAACACTCCCCTCTTAGGAAGCAGTGAAAAGAAAGACACTATTATGCAAGTGAGCTCTCAAAGGAGACAAGCAAGCCTCGGTGCTCCAATGGGTCAGGAACGAACAACTTTGTGTGTTCGGGACCTTAACTCCATTTCCAGGCAAAGAACTCAAATGCCTGGGCCATCTGGGCTCCCCAGTTCAGCCTACACGCTACCACCGTCTGCACTCGGACCCCAGTTCGATGCCTGACTTCCAGGCTTAAGACACCAGATACGCTAGGGCTGGGGTCGGAGGAGTGCTTCCACCTCAACCCCAGCCCCCTCCCGACCCTAGTTCCCTCCGCTCTCGGTCACACCCACCACCTAATCCCAGGATTCCCAGCCGTCTCAGTCTCTCACCCAAAAGATGAAAGTGTAGATCAAAAGGACGCTCTTAAAGCAAGTAATGACTGGTTTAGTCTGCAGTCTCCTAGACGGGGACGCCATAACTAGCTGGAGACCCTGCACCACACAACTCAGCGATCGAACACCGCCAGCAACACACGAATTCCCCGAGTTTTCCCGGAAACTGCCGAGTATTTACGAGTGTCTGCAACTGAGAAGAGCCGGAAACACAGTACGATTTTCTAGAGGGTAAAAGGCCTGCTGGCTGCCGGAAAGTGGCGGCAATTTCCGAGCGCCCCCTACCGAAGGCAACTGAAAACTAAATATAAAGTTCTATTTTCGTACATTTCAGATTTCCATTTAAGTGAAGTTGTCTTCTCTTTTTCTCCTGATCTTTCCTAACCCTAACTCCTTCTAGTGCTTAAAACTTTTATCATGTTGTTTCTGTCACTAAACACTGCATTGCACTGAGATTCTGCCTCCAGGGCCTCTGATATCCTAGAAGGAAGGGGAAAACAATGTGGGAAAAAACTGCTTTCACTGTATTTGATGTTGGTATAATTTGTGGAGGGGAAGGGAGAAAACAAATTGTTTAAATAGGGATACAGGTGGACCATTGCAACAATGAGGTGTACAAATCGTTATGTCAAAAAACGAACTTTACAGCTTTGTGGGGGGGGGGGGGAGTAGGAGAGGATGGGAAAGGATGGGAAGGGGAAACAAAGAAGGAGGCAACAATGCTTGATAAGAAATGTACTCAAGTGGTAGAGCGCTTGCCTTGAGCTGAAGAGCTGAGGGACAGCACCCAGGCCCAGAGTTCAAGCCCCACGACTGACCAAAAAAATAAAAAAGAAAAAGAAAAAAGAAATTCCATGGGCTGGGAAGGTGGCTCAGTGGTAGAGCGCTTGCCTTGCATGCCTGAGGCCCTGAGTTCGGTTCCTCAGCACCACATAAGCAAAAAGAAAAAAGCCGGAAGTGGCGCTGTGGCTCAAGTGGTAGAGTGCTAGCTTTGAGCTGAAAAGCTGAGGGACAGGGCCCAAGCCCAGAGTTCAGGTCCCACGACCGGACCCCTCCCCCCCCAAAAAAAAGAAAAAGCAACGTACTCATTATCTTGCCCATGTAATTGTATCCCCTCTGTAAGGTATTTTCACAATAAAATAAATAAATAAAAAGAATGCATTCACCACAAAAGACAAACAAAAGCAAGTAAATGGAATAAAAAAGAGAACCAATAAAAAAATTAGAAATGTGCTTGTAAGGTCCATTCCTGGACGGCGAACAGACCTCACCCAGTACCTGCGTTACCTAGGCAACTGGGATACCTGGAAGAGGTCACATCCGCATCCACTGAGGTCACATCTTAACCTGATGTGGCCACACCTTTCTCCCACCTGATCCCACTTCCCTTTACCTGGACACACCCTTCCCCACCCCCTACCCTATATAAGGCCTAAACCGCGGCCAGACCGCCCTCTCTTTTCCTTTTGCCAGCCGCGTGGAGTGCCAACCTTGCCTGGTCCCAGCAGGTCTACTGAATAAACCTACCCCTTACCTGAATACCACGTGCGTGGTGCAGTTCTTACTCGGCCACCTCCTTTTAAAAACCTAACATAAATGGTGCCGTGACTCGGATAAAGGGCTTAAAGTCAGGATAGCTGGATTCCTCTCTGCTTTTTTTCCTTTCCTTTTTTTTTTTTTTTTTCGTTTTTTGTTTGTTTTCCCCTTTTTGCTCTGAGGAATACCCACAGTTCTGACGGCCTTTTATGAACCCGTCTATCTGCTGTGGACACAGTGCATCAATTCTATTGCTGGCCTCTGCATCTTCCTCCACACTTCTACATTTTGGTGAGTGACCTACTCTCTAAGGGTTCTCTGTCGTTCAGTCTCTTTCCAGATACCACGCCGGAGAACCTACTAGGCCTTTACTTGACTCTGGTTGCTCGTCACTTCTCTCTAGAGGGCTCGGTGGTAAGTTGGGACACCGCTTCCATTCAGTAAGCCCTCCTTCACTCACTAAATTTTCCTCTTAAGTTTTTCTCTTTTACATTTCCAATGGGTGGTTGTAAGTCACGCCCAAAGGAGGAAACTCCATTGAAATGCCTCCTGCGTTCCCTGGATGTCTTGTCTATTGACTGCATCAACAAGAAACAACTGATTTATTATTGCACTCAAGTTTGGCCACAGTACCAACCCAGGTCACTTCAGTCTGACAATGGACCTGCTTTCATCTCCAAAGTGACCCAACAGGTGGCATCCTCTCTAAACATCCAGTGGAATCTTCACATTCCTTATAGACCTCAGTCTTCTGGAAAGGTTGAAAGAGCTAATGCGCTCCTCAAAACACAACTTACTAAACTTTCTCTGGAGCTCCAGCAATCCTGGCCAGAACTGTTACCCCTGGCGCTCACCCGCTTACGTGTTTCTCCCCAAAGCCCTACTTTCCTCAGCCCCTTTGAGTTAATGTATGGAAGACCTTTTCTCCTAGGTAATTTCCCTACTGACAATGCCAAGACTCCACTAATAGACTACCTTCCCGTCCTAACCTTTCTTAGGCACATGCTGCGCCAACATGCTGACCAGTGTCTCCCTCAGCCTCATCAAGGCCCCTTTCCCACTCCCCCAATTTTGCCTGGTGATCAAGTGTTTCTCAAGACCCTTAATCCATCTGGTTTACACCCTAAGTGGACAGGCCCTCACCAGGTTCTGCTGACAACCCCCACCGCAGTCAAGCTCAAGGGACAGCCCCAGTGGATTCACCTGTCAAGAATAAAAAGGGCTCCTGTTCCTGCCCCTTCTATACCAACCCTGACCTCCAGGTACACCTGTTCCCCCCTCGGGCCTACCAAGGTAAGGCTGTCTCGCATCCCTGAAGATCCGGGTGAGTAAAACTGAGCTAACTGCTCTCCTCCCCAAAGACCTCACTATCTCATCCCTTAGGACACCTCCAAGCCATGGACATCCAATCTTTTCTTTCCAGTAATATATTTGCTTTTCATCTTTGTTCAGCCCCCTGCCTGAGAAGACTTCCTCCAGACTGCATCTAAGAGACTCGCTTCTTGCAGACATCATGGAACTGGCAGACCTGGAAGCAGTCACCTTCTACTAGGTCACCCCTCTTCCTTCCCCCCCCCCCTTTCCTTTTTCAGCCATGCTTCTCCACCATGCTGGGTGGGGGCAACAGTTCAGTCAAATTAACTTCTTTTCCTGCCTGAATAGTGCATGGTGTTCTTTTCATCAGCTAATTTCCTAACCACCCCCTTTTTTTTGTGAACTGAACTGCCTTGACACTATGCAAGATTTTTCACCGATACCATTTCTGGCCTTCACATCCACGTCCACACCACTTCTCTACTCTGGTGAGTGAAACTACTCTACGGCTCTCTGTTGCTCAGTCTCTGTCCAGACGTGGCGCCACGCCAGAGAGCTCCTACGGCCTTTAGCTAAAAGGCCGGTCACCTCTGAAGCCGAGGACCCTTGGCTTTGGGGGCTTGGCCATTTCTCTTTAGAGGGCTCTGGGGGAAGTCGGGACGCCGCTTCTGCCTGGTAAGCTCTCCTTCACTCACCAGACTGACTCTACAACTTTTTGGCTTGTGCCCTGAAGAGTGCGACGCAGGCTGGGTCCCGGGGACCCCCCTCTAGGTTCCCTCTCAAAGGCTAGCCATTCTAGGTTTAAAAAAAAAAAAATTGTCAGAGTTCCTATTTGTTCAGGTTTCCGTCAATGCCTCATAAAACTTCTCCAGACTTCGTCCAAGAGACTTGCCTCCTCCAGACTTCATCGAAGGACTCAACACCCAAGTGACAGCTGCAGCCTGCTGCCTTCTCCCAGCATGGACCACATCCCAGCCTTTTACCCCTACGACGCCCTTTGCCAGCAGGAAGTAGCCAGAGAGAGTCTTCGCCCTTTTTCATAATTATCAAAAGGCTGGAATGTAAGGTCCATTCCTGGACGGCGAACAGACCTCACCCAGTACCTGCGTTACCTAGGCAACTGGGATACCTGGAAGAGGTCACATCCGCATCCGCTGAGGTCACATCTTAACCTGATGTGGCCACACCTTTCTCCCACCTGATCCCACTTCCCTTTACCTGGACACACCCTTCCCCACCCCCTACCCTATATAAGGCCTAAACCGCGGCCAGACCGCCCTCTCTTTTCCTTTTGCCAGCCGCGTGGAGTGCCAACCTTGCCTGGTCCCAGCAGGTCTACTGAATAAACCTACCCCTTACCTGAATACCACGTGCGTGGTGCAGTTCTTACTCGGCCACCTCTTTTTAAAAACCTAACAGTGCTAAGAACATGCTTCTAAGGAGAAGCAAATTAGATTTGCAAAGCAAATGCTGAAATGAAAACTGAAATTTGCTTCTGAGTGGCGGAATTAGGCTGATTTTTTTCTCACTTGTTTTTGCGCTTTTCCATATTTGAACATTGTTTTTTTATGGGATGTTAAAAAGAATTCCAAAGCTAGATATTTAAGATGAGTATGAATTTTAGAATTTCAGGACTTTGCAAAACTCCACTATCCTTTTCTCTTCCTCCCTAAGTAATTGGAAAGATAGAGAAATTTAAATTCACCCAATACACGTAAACACATAAAAATGGAGGGCTCCACAGAGAATGCCTACTAAAGGTGATACTATCTTAGATGCTAAAATAAAAGATACTGTATATTCTAGTCAGCTGATTTTTCTACACTAAGAATTATCTGAGAAGTTATCTAAAGTCACAACGCCAATAAAAAAAAAAGCCAAAACTAAAGATTCTCATGCTCCAGGTGCCTCCTCTATTATACAAGCTACCTCTCCTTAAGGAAATTCTTCCTATTGTTCAGAACTTCCTAGAACTTGACACTATGTTTTGTTCCTACCACATTAAACTACCTACAGGATGAAAATCAACTACCAGAATATCTGTTTTCCCAGGTTCAGAGGCAGTCATGATTGTCAACCTTAATGGTTGTAATTTAAAAATAGACACTCTTCCCATTCTCAACAATGGTAGGACAAGAATTGAGGTTCTTTTTGTTTTGGCCTGACTTCAGAAATGATTAAATGTAAAGAAAGAAAACTCTCCAGAGAGCCAAAAAGTCTAGAAAATTTGGATCATGCAAGTCAGGAGAGCATAGGAGGATATTTAAAGTTAGCTCAATCTTTAAAATGGGGATAAATCTGCATTTCATAATAGACATAAGTAGAATAAGAATAAGAAATTAGCTTATAGTCCCCCTCTATGT